CCAGGAAATTCAAATCCCGGGCTTCATTTGCAAGTGCGGTATGCCTACATTACCCCGCTAGTTCGAACTAGCGGGGTAGTGTAGACATACCCTCATTCACTCTGGACACATCTACACAGCAGGGCTAAAGCCAAACTAAACTACACAACCTGAGCTATGTCAATTGCTTGGCTTCAGTCAAAATAGTTTATTTCGGCTTTTGGCGAAGTCCACACAGCAGGAGGTCTGAGAAAGAGCACTCTTCCTCCAATTTCCCTTGCTCCTCATAAAATGAGGGTTACAGGCGTCAGAGTAAGAATTCCTCCAGCTTGACATTATTTTGACATTATGTCGAAATAACTGATTGTAATGTAGACACAGACTATGGTATTTTGGAATAACATTAGTTATTCCAAAATAACACTGATGTGTAGACATACTTTCTGAGAGGAAATGGCTCATGCAAGTAGTCCTGGTCAATCAAATAAGACTATTTGGTTGTCAGAGCAAATAAGGTTCAGAGCAAATAAGGTTCGCAAAATAGGGTCCCCTTGCTGGTAATCCATTTTGTAATCATGGGTGATTTGAACTGACATCTTCATTTGCTGACGGGCAACTTTCTCTTTGGTATTCCTCCCTCTTTCTTTGTTTATCTGTAAAGAGATTTCTTCTCCTCAGCTAATGTCAACTTATTCAGTGTCAGTATTGCTCTTGTGTTTTCTTTACCACTGATTATATTTTTGCCTCCCATCTCCTGGTGTGCACCTCCCTTTTTCCAGGATATGTTCTCAAAAGTCTCATGAAAAGAAGGAGGAGGACTAGAAGGAGGAGCGAGATCCCACTGGTTGGATTTTTCATCAGTTGAATTATGGAATTTACTCAGAGGGTAATTACTCAGACTAGCTGTGTTAGTCTGTAACAATTTTAAAAACAACTTTTTAAAAAATGAGTAGCTCTGTGACACCATGGAGACTAACAAAAATACATGTATAATATCATGAACTTTCGTGGGCAAAACCCTCTTCTTCAGATGAGAAGATCTTGAGATAAAGTACAGTATTAAAGGGAAAGCTCCCAGTTTCCTCTCTCTCTTCTTTAGAGCTAAGTTATGCTAGGGCACAGCCCTGAGTAGTGACAGCACAGAAGCTCATGACCTCTACTAAATAGTTTGGGGAAGGCATGGATCCCTGGGCTGCTCAGGGTTCCTGACAGATGCTAAAGCCTAATTCACTGGGCACCTCCAGCCCATTGCTTAGACATTGTGCTTCTACACTAGAGGTTAGTGCAAGGCAACATGTGAATTTGCAATGCACTAGTTCCTCCACACTAACTCCCAATGTAGACTCTCTTGGGCCTGGTCTGCACTAGAGAGTTATTTCAAAATAACTCCCCTTATTTCAAAATAACAAGTGGAGCATCCACACTACCAAGCCCATTATTTCGAAATAAGGGGCTGGTTATTTCCAAATAATAACTCCTGCTTTCCATGAGGAATAAGATTTATTTTGAAAGAGTTCTTTCAAAATAGCAGTAGTCTGGATGCTCCACTGCTGCTATTTCGAAATAACTACTCCCCAGAGTCATTCAAAGTAATTACTCCCCAGTGCTTCCTGGGGCTCTAAGTCAAGGTAGCATGTGCACATTAAAGGAGCCTGTCTCTGACTAATTTCAAGGCTTCCTTGTAGTGTGGACATGCTATTTGAAAATAGTTATTTCTGGAATTATTATTTCAAAATAAGTTATTTTGAAATAATTTCCTAGTGTAGACATGTCCTTACTGCACACTAAAAGTACATATGTGTACTTTAGCTGAATACACTTTAAAGTAGGTGGTTTGGATTAGTATGAGAGTTCTTTCAGTGCACAATAAAATAGTCTTGGCCATTCCCCTACTCCACACTCTTTGAGATATTGTGCTGCCAGCCTCGTACCTGGATGAGTAGTCCTACTCTCTGGAAAGCACAAAGAGACTATAACTGTCACTCCAACCCTAGCTGTTAGCATTCAGGCCCACATGCTATTCATATAAGACAGCTATCATGCTAGGCTATCTGTGCTGTGCAGTAGCAAAGCATCAATCCAGGAAAACACCATTCCTTTTAGCTTCAGATATTAATTTTCAACCCAACCCTTGTTTCTAAATAAATATCTTCATTTGGAGTGCTGATCTCGTACAGCTAATGCCTGAGCACTGCTGAGTTAATCAAATACAGCAGCTGCAAGAAAACACACAGAATTTCTTTGCCACTTGCAGTCTTTCCAACTAGTGATGGGCAGACTCCCAGAGCATTTAGAGGTTTGGTTTAGAATAAACAGCTCAAAGATTAGACACTCAGTCAGACCAACTGTCTGACTCTCAGTCTGCAAACTTGAGCTGAAAATCTTGAGTGAGGAGTTTTTGTAGGGGTATTTTGGCAGTTTCATTTAGCCCTGCCCATCACAAGGGAGTGAAGAGGTAGAATACATATGAAAAATACATTTTTAAGTTACTTTTTTTTCTCAAAATTCACAGGGGTTTGGTTAGAGGTTGACTGATGTTTAGATGAAGATTCAATCCATTCTAACTATATAAGCAAGTGTTAGTCTTTGTATCTCTTGCCCATTGCTATTCATTCCTACACAAATCTTCAGAAAGACAAGATGTAACAGAAAACCTAATATTATATGTGGGAGCCTGACTAAATGAATAGCTGTTAAAGAAATCAGCTAGGCTTGTTAAAACAATACATTTTCCAGCCATAAAACAAAAATCCATGCAGACCTAAGAAATTTAGTTTCCCAGAAGAAGAACTCTGTTAAATGAATACATATTCAGTGGACCAAACCAAAATATATTTAATATAACATAAGAGGTCTCTTAAAGGAGTAACACTTATACAAAGGCCTGCTAAAATATTTTGGTGCAATGTAGCTATATATTTAACAGTTTTATATTTCAGACATAACAACCCTTCAGAGATTTACTATAAAAGTTTATTGCTTTAAAATTGGGGTGACACAGAAAATGCATTTGTTGTCTTTTTGCTGAACAGAAGAAATGAATATGATTAAATTAAAGTGCCAGTTATATTTATACAAGTATCTTCATTTTCAGATGACTACTGGCTTCAGTGAATTCCCAACAGAAAGCCAGAATGGTGTCACCAAGATAGACCTCTGATGGAGAAAAGGTTAAGGGAAAAAAACTGAAAATCCCTTCAAAATATTTATTTCTCTACCTTGTTTTAATTATTTCATTTAGGGCCAGAATATGATGCCTTCCTTGCCATTGAATAGAAACTTGCTCCATGAACAGCCCAACTGAGTTTGATGCTGATAATGTGATTTTTTCCCCAAAACACATTTCTTTCTGAAAAATATGTAGCATGGTTCAACTTACATTTGGAACATTTTAGTCAATTTTAATACCATAAAATGTGCCCATCACATAGCCTATACGCATGCAAAATATATAAAATACTATCCATAAGTCACTGATTTAAAAAAAAATTCCCATCCACAAATTAACCATGTATGTAGCCATTCTTGATAAAAGTATATTTAAGGAGAGATGCTCTATAGGTCAATAGACTCAAGCTTTTTCAGAACAGTAGAGGTACTTAGGATCTCTCTTTCAAATTACCCTTCTTGTGGGTCCAATCATTCTAAGGTAAGAATAGATCAAGAAAGTTGAACTCGTGAGAGGTCACCTATCACCACCAAATAGTGCCATTGCCACATTTTGCACCAGCACTCAATTATAATATACCAAGCAGCAATCCAGTCTAGATATCACAAGGGTGTGGTTAACAGTAGCAACATCAGATAAATGACTGCAACTGCCTTTTCAAATATAAAGTAATCTTACCCTCATTTCAGCAAAGTGTTGGCATATCAAAATCTATAGTTGGCTGGGAAATTAAAGCCCCTTCATGCAAAAGAAAAACTGTGTTTTACGAGAAAATTAGTCACAACTTGGGATGAAAATTCATAATTGAAAAATTTTCACAGGAAGGAATTTCTAGAAGAAACTCCATTTCAGAATAGAAGTGCTAATGCCAATGTCACCTGTTGGACAAACATCCAAACTGTAAATTTCAGGTCAAAGTTTCCCTCATTCCCTTTCCTCATTTAATACGCTAATCATTAGTAGAGCCATACAGAACACAAATTCTATTTTACAATTTTGACATTATTTCATTCTAATTAGGACCAAAACCTAATTATTCCAAACTTTTCTGAGAAATAAAAATTTTAATAACAATTTGTTTCAGGTCAATACAAATGTTTGATTTTGATTTTGAATTTATTAGATTCTATCTAATATACAATCTCTTAACATTCTAAATAAAAAATTGTTTCAAAAGGAAAAGGGAATAAGTTTCATTTTGAAAATGGCAAAATTGGACATTGGAGAAAAAAGGGAAAAATTCTGACAAAAAGAAATTTCAGCAAAATTGATGTGATTTCAAGAAGTGTTTAGATTTTGTCAAGACTAGTACAAAATGGTTCAATCAAAGGTTGTCTGATCTGCTCTACTAAGAAGCAAAACAGGCTGCAATTCAATTCCAGAAGTCTATGTCTTTGCCCCCTTCTAATCTAGATCTGCCACAACAAAAGTAGACGCTGTCCAGATTTCATTTATGAATCACATAAAAACTCATCACCTGCCTAGATAGATTCCAATCACCAAAGGACATAATGCACATTCTTATAAAGAAGAAAGTTACTGTTGCCTCCACAACAGCTACTGATTAAAATCATTAAACATATTTTCATTTGTGGAAATCATTGTGGTTTACTTAAAGCTATTTTCCTGAACTGTTGTATTTGATATCTACTAGACCAAGTATAACCATTCAAAAGTTACCCATCTAATTGATGGGCTGTGTCCCCAGCAGAGGGCATAACCAATACCCCAGTAGTCCATTAAGTTTCAGATGAGACCCAAGGTGGCCTTTTCCAATAGGAGGATGTGGTGAGATTAAAGTAATTTTCTGCAATTTACAGATGCACTTCCAGTGAGTTAATTTGTCGTCAGATTTTAACAAATTGCTATTTGTTTTTCAGGAAACCTTATGTCATCCGCTAGGGGAATGGGAAAAGTGCACAAATGGGAGGTGTGCAGCTGGCAGTGACAATGCAAATGACACATGAGACAATTGCTCATCCTTAAATTGATTTAAGGATCTTCACGCAAGCTCGTCTTGAATAAGAATATTGCAGCCTGCTCTCCCTTGGACTGTTCCCTCCCTCTTTCCAACATCTTATCATCAGTTTCACGATTATGCAGCACAGATCAATTCTTATGAATACTGACAGAAAGCCAGACAACATAACCATCTGACTTCTCAGAAATAGCCCACAATACTGCATAAATTATCCAAGGTGTGACAGAGCTTTACTACTCTAACCCTATAACTTCTAATTAATACAAGTAATAATGTTTTTACAAGGCTATGGTGAGACATGGTGTTATAAAAGCACAGAGAAGCTACATTCCTTTCCTTAGAAAAACAGTATGTCTCAGAATTAGAGGAGTAATGAATGATGATAGATCAGCAATGTAAAATGAGATTTCAGTGCTATTTTGGGGAGTCTGGGGAGGTTTTCTTCTCCCTGACCCCAAGATCCCAGATTATCTCTACTCAGTTTCAGGAAGCAGAGTCAGTATTCCTCCTACATAGTCCAGCTGCATTCCCAATATAAAGGAGTTCTTTCTGTCTGCAGCTGCTTACTATTCAACTGTGATAGTCAGCTGGAATCTCAAAATAGATTTTTTTAATTTATTTTGTACTTGCCTGAACTAAAATTGTGAATACACCCTTACCTGACAAACCTCATTCAGAGAAAAGTTCACCATTATATTTTAAAATTGCTGTGGGGGAAGATGGCTCTAGGAAGACAGGTCCAATGATGTGACCACAATGGCCAGAGGTAGAAGCCCATGCTCTGAGTATTGCTAACTTCTGTTTGCCAGAAATCAGGAGTGGATCATTTGTCAATGGTCTGCTCTGTTCATTCTCTCTGAAGTACCTGGCATTGGCCACTGTTGCAAGACAAGATACTAACTAGACAGATCATTGGTCTGACCCAATATGGAAGTTCTCATGCTCTTACATAGGGAATGGTAACAAGATATGGAGACCTTCTTATCTGGCTCACCATTGGCAATTCCACTCATGTTAGCAGTGATTGTAAACGTTGTCATATCGTCCAGCTGATCTGATCTGATGGTCTTAGTGCAATTTGTAATGGACACATGTACAGCTCTCATATATCTCTTGAACTGATTCCACCCTGTTTGTAAGCAGGTGAGTAATGGAATGGAAATCAAGACTACTTTACCACTATTCCTATAGTTGATCAGTCCTTTTAGAAAAAGGCAAAGTGCTTTCGTAGGTCATTGTAGAGAAACTCACACTCCAACTCTGTCTGGTCTATGAATAAAGTAGGGAATTAGGCCTACAATGCTGAAGATCTTTCCTTTGTATCAATACTATGTTCACTTTTTTAAAGAGTTTGGAAGTACTAAAACATCAGTTATTTGGGGGTTAGTACATCTTATAATTAGTAGGTGCTTCGATAAGCATCAACAAATGTTTACAAATTATAACACATCATGGCAACTGAAGTCAGGTTCATCTGTATATAAATTGGTTAATCTTTAAGGGCTTCTCATGCTACAGGGCTTCTCATTTCTGTATATGAAAACATCCCATATATCAGCATTTACACAGTGCAACCAAGATTCTACAGCAAAAAATTTCAGTGATATTTTTTCAGCAGTTCTGGGAGGAAGACTTAATAAGAATATTCAACTCATATAAATGTCCCAGTCAAGTGGCTCTTCTCATGTACCAGGCAAGCTGGTGTGATGACAAACACTATTTTAGTTTTGCAGTATAATATTTGTGAGATTTCTTAATACAAGATTTCACCTTGGTTCGCAAGAACTGAATATACAGATACTCAGCAATATATTTTGAGACCATACTTAAGTAGTTTTCAGCCATAAAGAGGACCTCCAAGCTGTAACTAAATATCAGAGAGGAAGTCTGACCCAACCAAGCAAAGCTGCCTATGGGGAAATACAAGGCAAATAAACAAAATTGTTCCTGTTGTCCAGAAACGCCTATGATGGTTCTGAAATGCACTAACAAGATTGAGTTCTCAACGGTTGTTTATTCATCCTACCAAACTGAGAAGCTCACCGACCTGGTTAAATAAACACCTGGTGTACAGCTAACCTGCATTGCATGATCAAAAAGCAGATAAAACATAAAGCATACCCTGTCTTTTCCCCTGATTAATGCAAATTTGAATCATTTGCTCCATTTTGTGCTCCAAATGGGAGGAACGGAGAAAAAGTCAGACTGGCAGGTAAATACTTAATATGCCTCCCGAGAAATAATTAACTGCTAAAACACATTGATGTAATTGGGTTCTGTAATCTGTCTTCAATGTGACTATTTTTCTCTATCGATCTTGCTCATTTCAGGGGTTGTTGTTTTGTTTTGTTTTTTCAGAGTGAAAAGTTGGAGCTTTGTTTTGGGACAAATTCATTTTGAAGCCTTGAAGTATGTGGGTGGGGGGGTCAAAATGATCAGTGAGGCAAAAATTAGACCACTGACTACTGTGGGCCAAACGCTGAAACTGAAAAATTGTGGGCGTTTATATGAGTAAAGATTGGACTGAGGTGTGGTGGGAAGAGGTGGGGTGGATTGAGGGCTTGCGGGAAGGAGTGGAGTGGGGATAGGACCTGGAGCAGAGTGGGGGTTGAGTACTCCCAGGGGAAGGCAGAGGCTTGTGCCTGTGTCTGGCTATTCCTTAAACAGTTTGGGGAACGTAGTTCCTCCTGCTGCAGCAGCAAACACTGTTGTTTTCTCATCTCTTTTTCAGCTCCCAGGTGGTCAGCTCCTTCTTCCATTTTACAGCTTGCACCACAATCTGTGAAGAACACATCTCTTCCACCTCCCACCTGTATTCAGCCATCTGTGTTTACAGTCCCAAGATTTCAGCCCAGTTCAAGTCATCTGTAACAGCCTTCTCCTCCAGCCCCATATTGTAGACTCTGTGAGTAGCTAGACAGGCCAGATGTTCAGCTTTAAGCGACACATTCCTCATTATGTACAGTTTATCCTGTGAATAGAAATTGGACATATATTTTTTTCCAGTATCATGGACCATAGGAACAAGGTAACATGAACAGAGGAGAAGCAGCACATTCTGCAAAATGGTGTCCATGCATCTGAGTTCCAACAGGTGAAAGCTGGCCTGTGCTGTTATGGATGTTCATGAAATCAAGGTGATGTCCTATATTCTGGAAGCATCAATGGCCAACCTATGTGTAGGTGAGGAGGCTGCTGCTACCATTATCACAGTTTTTTTCATGTATGGGATTTTAGTGTTGTGGCCTTTGTTATACAGCCAACTGTTCCTTTTAGAAGGCCTTTCTGAAGGCTTAGTATGTCGATCAACCCACGAGTATCAATGGCTATATCTACATAGCAGCATTATTTTGGAATAACTGAATCGGGCTCTATAGTCTTTTACTTCACTTTCAAAATATGTACAAAGTGGACTAGTAAGTGTCACCTGGAATTCCATCTGTCTATCAAATACATAGCCACACTTTTATAAAAATACATATTTTATGTATGTACTAGACACAGACTTAAACACCCACTATCACCACAACCAGACTGCTGTGGACAAGGGCTATTTTGGAATCCAGAATGTTGTAATCAGCACTTACACTCTTTGGCTATGGCTACACTGTAGCCTTCTTCTGGAAAAGCTTATGCAAATGAAGCATGGCATGGAATATTGCCGTGCTTCATTTGCATAATTAATTAGAAGCCGCTTTTGCGCAAGAGGCTTTTGTGCAAAAAGACGCATCAGGCTTTTTGCACAAAAAGGAGCTGTGTAGATGGCTCCTTTTTGTGCAAAAACCCCCTCTTGTGCAAGAGCCGTTCTTCCTGAAAAAATGAGGACGAATGGCTCTTGTGCAAGATGGGGGTTTTGTACAAAAAAGAGCCATCTACACAGCTCCTTTTTGTGCAAAAAGCCTGATGCGTCTTTTTGCACAAAAGCCTCTTGCGCAAAAGCGGCTTCTAATTAATTATGCAAATGAAGCACGGCAATATTCCATGCCATGCTTCATTTGCATAAGCTTTTCCAGAAGAAGGCTACAGTGTAGCCATAGCCAAAGAGTGTAAGTGCTGATTACAACATTCTGGATTCCAAAATAGCCCTTGTCCACAGCAGTCTGGTTGTGGTGATAGTGGGTGTTTAAGTCTGTGTCTAGTACATACATAAAATATGTATTTTTATAAAAGTGTGGCTATGTATTTGATAGACAGATGGAATTCCAGGTGACACTTACTAGTCCACTTTGTACATATTTTGAAAGTGAAGTAAAAGACTATAGAGCCCGATTCAGTTATTCCAAAATAATGCTGCTATGTAGATATAGCCATTGATACTCGTGGGTTGATCGACATACTAAGCCTTCAGAAAGGCCTTCTAAAAGGAACAGTTGGCTGTATAACAAAGGCCACAACACTAAAATCCCATACATGAAAAAAACTGTGATAATGGTAGCAGCAGCCTCCTCACCTACACATAGGTTGGCCATTGATGCTTCCAGAATATAGGACATCACCTTGATTTCATGAACATCCATAACAGCACAGGCCAGCTTTCACCTGTTGGAACTCAGATGCATGGACACCATTTTGCAGAATGTGCTGCTTCTCCTCTGTTCATGTTACCTTGTTCCTATGGTCCATGATACTGGAAAAAAATATATGTCCAATTTCTATTCACAGGATAAACTGTACATAATGAGGAATGTGTCGCTTAAAGCTGAACATCTGGCCTGTCTAGCTACTCACAGAGTCTACAATATGGGGCTGGAGGAGAAGGCTGTTACAGATGACTTGAACTGGGCTGAAATCTTGGGACTGTAAACACAGATGGCTGAATACAGGTGGGAGGTGGAAGGGGCGGGGGAGCAGCTTTTCTCGCCCCGGAGGAGGCGGGCGGCGGGACCAGGCGTCCCGCCGCTCCAGTCCTCTGGGGCGAGAAAATCCCCGTTCATAACTGTGGATCCGACATAAGTCAGAGCCTCGTAACTCGGGGACTGCCTGTATATTTGAACACTACTGGGGCTTGAATTTCAAACCTAAACTTCACAGTTCAGAATTTGTTCTGATAGTTACCCCCAAGAAGAATAAACAATGCCCATTCCAAGATCTGTGTAGATACAAATGTGTAGTTTAATTGGAAAACATTAAAGAAAAAGTGAAGTTCCATTTCAAATACAACTCTTCTTTCTTGGAATTATTGCACAACAAAACTGCAAACACACCATATAATTATTATAACTGTAAATCAATAAAACTAGAGAGCAGTAATAAGATTTCCATTGCTGGTGGCAATTACCCACGTGCACCAGCCCAGATTTTCTGTTGGTGCAAATTGGTGCAGCTGCTTTGACTTCAGTCCACACCAGGGAGGCTGACAGACTTGCTGGGTTCCTGGGCGCGGTAGGGGAGTCGCTCTCCACTCCTGGAAGGAGTGAAGGGGTGGGGCCTCAAGCGGAAGGAGTGGGGCTAGGGACAGGCAGCACTCAGTAACGCCTAGAGGGCACCACACAGAGCTCTGGTGGTGATTTAAAGGGCTCTGGATACCTCCTCTCCTGCAGTAATGGCAGGGGTGGCCAGCAGTCCAAGGCCCTTTTGAATCACTGGGCCTTGGGGCAACTGCCTCCTTATGCCCCCCCCCTCCATTGAGGGTGGGGTCTGGTTTACACCAGCAAAGAATCTGAGAAAACATGT